AAAAAAAAGATTAAATGATGCTTTAATTCTCCAACAGTGCTGTCAATCCTGAACTCCTCCAACAGTAGCATATAGCAGGCCAGCATCAGAACTCTGTGACTGCGACATACACCAAAATCACAGATTCTTCCCCAAATGTACTAATATCAGTTCAGCCTAAAGTCAGGGGTGAGGGAGCCATGTTCATTTTTTCAGTTTCCTGGGCAAGTCACACACACTGCAGGCTAAGAACACTAGGTGAACAATTCCAGCAGTCAGTGTACACAGGACTAGCATTCAAAAGGAAAATGTAAATCTTTCTTTAAAGAAATGTATACAATCTGGCACAAGAACAGACCTGAGGACCAATGAAATACAACTGAAGACCCAGATCTATAGCCATTTAATCTTCGATAAAGGCCCTAAATTAATTGAATGGAAGAAAGACAGCCTCTTCAGCAAATGGTACTGGCAAATTGGTTAAACACCTGTAAAAAACTAAAGCTATATTCTTATATTTCACCCTGCACCACAATCAACTCCAAATGGATCAAAGACCTTGAAGTCAAAGCAGATATTACAGGAAGGAATAGGAGAAATTCTATGGCTCCTTGGCACAGGCTGAAATTTTCTTAATAAAGACCCAGAAACGCAACAAATCAAAGAAAGGTTGGACAAATGGGATTGCATGAAACTGTAGAGCTTCTGAATGGCAAAGGACATAACTAGCAAGATCAATAGAAAGCTCACGGATTGGGAAAAGATCTTCACTCATCATAAAACAGACAAGGTCTCACATCTAAAACTTAAAATCACATCTAAAAACTCAAAAACTTAAATCTTCCAAAAATGAATCGTCAAAGAAACAACCGACAAATTAATAAGTGGGCTAACAAAGAGAGACTTCCCTGAAGATAAAGAATGGCCAAGAGACACATGAAGAAATGCTCAACTTCTCTAGCCATAAGAGAAATGCAAATCAAAACAACATTGAGATTCCACCTCACCCCAGTTAGAATGGCTATAATCAAGAAATCTAATAACAACCCATCTTGGAGGGGATGTGGCCAAAAGGGAACCCTACTGCATTGTTGGTGGGACTGTAAACTTGTTCAATCACTCTGGAAAGCAGTATGGAGATTCCTCAAAAGACTCCACATAGAACTCCCCTATGACCCAGCAATCCCACTTTTGGGCATTTACCCAAACGATCACAAACAAGGCCATACTAAAGCTACCAGCACAACTATGTTTATCGCAGCATTATTTACCATAGCTAAGATATGGAACCAACCCAGATGCTCCTCAGTAAATGAATGGATCAAGAAAATGTGGCAGAGAGAGAGAGAGAGAGAGAGGCCTCCATCAGAAAGAATGACACTGTCCCATTTGTTAGGAAATGGAAAGACTTGGAAAAAGTTATATTAAGTGAAGTAAGCCAGACCCAAAGAAACATAGGTCCCATGGTTTCTCTTATCTGCAATAACTAATATATGTCTAGGACAAGCAGAAGAGGTAAAAAACTAGGTACATAGGACCATATAAGCTGATGCTAAGTGAAATGAACCCCAAGATAGGGACACAAGAGGTTTTATCTTTGTTGCTGTTGTTTGTAATGTACTTATAATATACTGTGTGATTTTTTTTGTTTCTTTGTATGTTTTTCCCCCATGGTATAACCTCTATTTTCGCTGCATTTGATTCCAGTGCCCTGCATCTTGTATATACATTTTTCTAATTTGGGGAGGGGAAGGGAAATAACAAAATGCTGAAACAAGGATACAGGATGACCCATTGTAACAATGAGATGTACAAGACACTATGTTGAAAACAAACTTTACAACATGGTGGGGGGAGGGAGGAGTTGGGGATCTAGGGAAGAAAGGGATGGTGAGGGAAAAACAAAGGAAGGAGTAACAATACTCCATAGGAAGTATACTCATTACCTTATTCATGTAACTGTAAACCCTCTGTATAGTATCTTTACAATAAAAAATATATTTAATTTTTAAAAAGAAATATATACAAGGACTGGGAATGTGGCTTAGTGTAAAGTGCTTGCCTAGCGTACATGAAGCCCTGGGTTCGATTCCTCAGTACAACACAAACAGAAAAATCCAGAAGTGGCAATGTAACTCAAGTGGTAGAGTACTTGTCTTGAGCAAAAGAAGCTCAGGGACAATGCCCAGAC